TCCAGTGTTGAATTTAGCACAATTGCATACAAACGTTAAGGGGTTTTAAGATTCTGAAGTATTATGCTAAAAGCTCAATAACTTAGATTATTATTTATAGTTTTGCTGAATAGTTTCATGTCCGCTTACCTTAGAAACGTAAAATGCGACGGCAGCGTGCAGATGTGGAGCATGTTAGCTTAGCTTGGTAGCTTCAGCTAGCTCTAGAACAGGGGTGCCCAACCAGTCGATCGCGATCGACCGGTCGATCGCGAGATGTGTCTAAAAATAGAACAACAACATTCTGTTTTATCGTTAATGTCCTGTAACATAATGTTCCTGTGCCAGAATAATGCACTTGAACGCATCAAAGCTTTGTGATTGGCCGGCGTGACCCCATGTGTCGGGGCGTGGCTGGTCGGCAGTGCACTATTTTCGCTGACGTTGTTGTCCGTGTCAACAGGAGTGACAGTAAAAAAGCAAAAAAGCCCAAAATATATAATTTTCACTCCGAGTGGGAGGATGATTATTTTTGTATCTATTCCAATTCAAAGTGCATCTGTCTCATCTGCAATGCGAGCGTGGCTTTATCGATGAAGGGTAATTTAGGAGCGGCATTTCAAAACAGTGCACAAACGCTACGAGACGGAATTCCCTCCTAATTCTGCCCTACGCTCCCAAAAGGGGAGGGGCCTGAAAGGACAGCTAAATGCACAGCAGTCCATTTTCACCAGGCCCAACAACAAGAGCAAGGCTGCTCCCAGAGCATCTTATCGTGTCAGTCACGTTCTTGAGAAACACACGAAGTCTTTCAAAGACGGCGAAGTTGTGAAAGAAGCATTCCTGGAGGCTGCCAACGCGTAATAAAAATAACAGTAGCATTTCAACAGGTTTTTGATAAAAACTCAAGTTAGATACCGTTATTAATCAGCTGTACGTTTTAGTTTGTTTGAACTTATTCATTATAATTATTGTACACAATGGTATAAGAATGCAAACATTAAGATCTGTTGTTTAAATTGATTATAGTCTATCATCAATTCAGGTTAAGAAACTAGTGTTGCTTGCATCCTATTTTAAAGGCATTTCTTTTTATAATCTACTAAAATGCAACAAAAAAAATTGTTCGATTCTATTAATTTTGTCTTTTTTATTGCACTTTGGCAGCAGATTCCTGAGTAGCTTCAGATCTGAGTTGTCTTATTAGTAAGCCTAATTTATACTTTTGTAGCAACACTATTTTTATATAATGGCAAAGAATGGGTTCAGAGTATTTTCTTTTTTCCTGTGTCATATGTGGCAGCACTGTTCAATGTTTCTTGAAAACATTACCCACTGTAGTGACGTGTGAATAAACTCCAACTCTGTATCAACAACACTGTTGTGTAACTTCAGTTAAATACTTGTATGTGTCTAGATTAGAAAGAGGTAAGATAAAGGATCTGCAGTATTTTATGAAGTATTAATCGTACAAAGGTCAGTTTTATACAAGTAGAAGTGTGTATTTACCTGGTAGTAGGCTGTCAGTAATGGCTACGCCTCTCTATTTGGACTGGTAGATCTCGGCAGACTGGCAACTTTAAAAGTAGCTCTCGGTTCAAAAAAGGTTGGGCACCCCTGCTCTAGAACTTCCAGCTCGGTGGCAGCAGGTCCCGCCTCGGCTCCGCCTCTTTGCCCTTATTTGGAGCAGGCTGGAGAAGGCGGGAGTTGAACTCTGGCGTCACTGTCGAGCCGTTAGTGGCCGACTCCGCCTACTAAGGGCTTCACCGCAACTCTGCAGAATCCTATGGGTGACGTCACGGACCCTACGTCCATTTATATATACAGTCTATGGTTTAAACACCTTGGTGCCGATCAGCCTTGAGACATTGTTACAAACCAGCTCTGATGAATAGTCAGATTTTATATTGAGTGCATGGTTTTACAGGAACAACCTCCTAGTTTGCCATGGACTCTGTTGTGCTTCCAGTAATTGGTATGCGGCGGAGACAGTACTAACTTTTGTAATAGACTTTCAGGATCTCAAGCATCTTGTTGAGAGGATCACCAAACCTCAAAGCACCAGAACAACGCGATGAAATTGGCCTTCTCGTAGGAGCAAAGACCCAAACTGCGCATTTAATCTAACCTGGACTGGAGAAATTCAATAGCAGATTGATATCAAGTATGTGCTCAGTCAGGTTATCACCTTTTTTAAACTGTGGGAAATGTTAAATTATTTATTAAATGTAAAGTTCTCTTATAACTTTTTGCAGAAACTGTTATAGGCTAGTTGTTGTCCCGCCATGTTTTGCATTCATAAACATCTACACTGAAAAGCAGTGTGAAGTTGGCCTTTTTAGGAAATTGCTGACATACATACAGTACATACATACATAGGCTACATACATACAGTACAGCACACAGTACAGTAACAGTACAGTACATACATACAGATATATCATGATGAGACTATCTTTTTTTATAATTACATATTAATTTACTCGACTAAGAAAACTTTGGAGCTCCATAAAATGCAAGGTAGACATCTCTTGTTCTTGTATCCTTCACAAGAAGACATTAATCTATTTTCTTTTAATTTGTGAACATCATTATTTGTCATGCAGTCATACAGTATAAGCAGTTGTTGTCTAGTGTCTTGTAAAATAATCCAAGCAGGCTGATAACCAAGTGATGCAGGGCTTTAAAAAATAAATGTTTCCATCAACAATGTTTTTAACATTTCCTTTAATGCTGCTTTGGCCGACAAGGATATAGCACCAAGGAGGATCAGATGATCTCTGTGCTGTGGAAGATGTCCTGCCTCGTTCCAGTGTCTAACGCGCTGTGACTAAGATGCTGTGTCCCATGGCTAAAAGGACTTTGTTGTACACTTTTACCTTTACTAATATTTATATAAATGTAAAATTTGAGAGGGATAAGAAGCCAAGACTTGCCATGAACCCTGCAAGGGACAAGCAAACCTAACCAGCTGCCACTCACATTCTGCCTGTAACTGAAATCTAAATACCATTACATTGCATTTAGCTGATGCTTTTATCCAAAGCGACTTACAATAAGTGCGTGCAATAAGTAGAAGAAAGAGGTATTCAATCAACGGAGCCCAAACAGCATGTTCATATAACAATGTGCAGGAGAGAAAAAAACAACAACTGAGAGACTGTCTGTGTGTTCAGGACACAGAAATGCTGATGCTTCTCCTTTGGGCCCTGTCAAGCTCACTTAGCATCAGTGTTTACAATGCAAAATGGGAGAAAGTCTCGATAATTCCAGGACGCCTGAAGGCAGGCGAAAGCGGATGGAAGAAAGGATCCAGGGGCATTGTTTCAGCTTTGAAAACCCTGCAGGGCTGTTTGTTTGAACACTTCTGAAGGACGTGCTCATCTCATTGTTAAGTCACAGTGTTTGATGTCATTAGTTCAGATTAATTCATATTGTGACAGAAAATCCTCCGTCAGACTTGCTCACTGTGGTTACTGTCTCATAATGTTGACAGTCTGAATACAGGAAAAGAGCTGGTTTATTGTTGTATAAAAGACATCACCATACTTCACTGCTTTTTGCTTGAGTCACTCCGGTCACTCCCCATCTACTTAAAACAATACCTTTCGCAGTTCTGCATTACTTGAATTTCAAACTAGATGGAAGAGTTTGACATTTTACAGAAATACACTTACTTCTTGATGGAAGTTAAATGAGAAGATTCAAATACAATTTTGAAGACTACTGCAAACATGAAACTACCAGCTTTTTGTGGATGTGAATTAAAACAATACATTTCTCATTGTGTGCTTTACTAACAGAGAAAGCGGGGTTCTGCTTGTTAAGCCGTGCCAGCCATACCTATACCAGGATGCATTGCATGCCAGCATCTGACACCCTGGGGGTATCACCAGCTGTATCCTCTACACAGCAAATCCAGCAGCAGCCTCTGTCATTCCTTGGGCCGTAAACTGTGGCTAGAATGAATATCTACTCAGCCAAAACACTATTTAATGTACCCTTTTCTGGAACATTCTTTGCACCTATTTTTTCTTTTACACTGCTTAAGACATAGCTAGTTACATTACTGTCACATCAAATGACAATGCTGGATGCGGGGGGAAGACAACAGATTTTGCAGCTGCAAACTTAGCGTTCTGAACAACATAGCACATGGAATGTATTGCTTTTATTTGCCATTGACAGTTGGACCTTTCCTTTAACAATTGTGACTGCTATTTAGGTGGATAGCGTTCCCTTTAAACAGATTTAGACTGGCTTTTTATAGTCTTTATGCTAAGCTATGCTTGGCTATAGCTTCATATTTAACTGACATGAGAGTGGAATCGATTCACCCGTCTAACTAACTGTAAGAAGGCAAGTCTCCCCAAGTGGTGCAAGCTTGTATTATCCACCCCTGCTTACTTGATCCACTTTGCAAGTGGTGTTGGGGTAATTCTGTTTCTTCTACTCAGCCAATAAGAATTAAGTGGATCAGATGTGCAAGAGTAGGGAGGAATAAATGACAGGTTGAAAATATTGAGGATTTTTCCCCCAGAGTTGAGCCTGCCAGGCGTGCAAATCCCTCCTCCTACACTAGGATTGGCACACTATAGTCCCCTCCCTTATTTAACCCCAACCATATTTTACCTACAGCAATAAGTCAGAATGTCTTGATGATGCACAGCTGGTAAGAAGGGCTGCCTAAGAGTCAAAATAAAGGGCAAAACATACCCCATCGAAAACCCTTCTGCCGGCTCTACCCATGATTTGACGACTGATCCAAAGCCATCTCATTTTGAATAAGGCCCTCCTACCCATACTGTAACTACATCACAGTGTTTCCGGGAACCTGTAAATAAATGAAAGATAACAGCCATTGAAGAGACAAATATGAAATTCAAATAACAAACTGAAACATATTTGATTATTGTGTGGTGACTTTGTCAATAATTACCATTCAACACCGAGATGATGAGAAATTGAGAGCAGGCCGCTCCCGCATCTCCTCCGCCCATCCCCTGCTGCCAGCTGCCTCTGTGATGCTTCTCCTGTGTGTAGAGGAGGAGAGAGCCGCTGCCCAATGACAGCGCAGGATGCTCAGAGGCTGCTCCGGTGAATGGAGGCGTCAAGATGCCATCTCAAGCGGTGAAGGAGAGGAATTAACATCGAGCAAGGTACATTTGCCTCTTTTATTTTACACACAGTCTGTCCGCGTTTCTTTTTCGAAGTGTTGGCACGTGTGTCCTTTCGTTTTTCGGGCGTATTGTGAGCGTTCTGGCTTTAGAAGCAGAGGCTACGTGCATTTAAAGCAATTCCGGTGGTCGTCGATGTGCATATAGACACAGCCAGTCAGTGCTGACTTGATACCTGGAATTTGTACTTTAAAGCCGCGTGGAAACGATAGTGCAGCGACGTATTTCAAAATAAAGGTTTCAGTGGGCTTCCCTACCTCGGGTAAGAATAATATGTCATGTATCAGGTGCTCGACGCACACCACGTCGGAGCCATCGAAAATGTAGGCCCAATGAGCTGTCAATTGGTCTGTCGTGCCTCATATGCTGCATTAAATGTTAGTCAGCCTACATCACCAGTAAGCAAACATAAGAGTAAATATTTGAATTGCAAACGGGAGCCTTAGTGTGTAGCCTAATTAAGATAAACATCTGCCGAGGTCGTTTCATACGAGAGGCTTTTTTTGCATTCGCAAGCCATTTCAAAGCAGGACTATTGTTGAATATTGAATTGTGGTGGACTGGTGATCCGGCTATTTCAAGACCCACACTTGTATTTTATCATCCAATCATTTAAGTCTGGGTAGCACGGGGTTGGTAGGCTATGCTGTGTAGTAATACGTGATGAGGAGGCTGCATGTGTTGCACTTGCTCAAGTAGCACTGCATCGCATTGAACAGCCTGGCATTTCTTTTCACATGAAATGCCTTTATTATCAACCCATTGGAAAGGCTATTTTTAGAAAAAAAATCCCTTTTGTCCGCCCTAGACATGCGTTCTGACCTCAAAAGCATGTTATCACAGTCAAAGATCACTGCTTCTAATTAGTAGTCTTATTCAGATTGAAAAGAGTTGGAATAAAATGCCTGCATGCTGGCTTTCAAAATGTCATGATCGCCTTATAGAAAAAGACTCTCCCTAACCCCACAGATACACTCAGCATCGCCTTTGGTGAAATCTTTGTGTCAGAACATCTGAATCCTCCCATCTGTTAACGCACCACTGCTCTCTGAATTGCCAGTGATCATTTCATCAGTGGCCTGTAGTAATACTGGCATTTGCTGAGAGGACTTTGCGTGTTACTCACTAATACCTGAGTAGTGGTCACAAATGACAGTTACATCATGGCTAAGAGCCACATAAAGCTGCATGGTAAATATCTAACAATGAAAGTTAACCTTTTTAAGTATTTGTCTTATCCTTTCTTAATTGTAGGCTACTGATGGGTTACAATTGGCCTTTTCAGCTGGCATCTCTCAGATTTTCCAGTTGTATCACTTTTTCTGCAATGATCTAATGATTGCACTTTGGTCAATTAGCTTTGCTCAACATGAGAAATGAGCCTTACTGCTCTGTGGATATATGTGTGAAAATGTGTGTAGAACATGATTTTGTCTGCTATGGATTTGTACACATCATATTATGTTAAATTAGATGTCCAATATGTACACAAATGATAATTGAATCGTTGTATTTGTTGATGTTGAATATATCTGTTTAGAAACACTCTAAATCGAAGATCCCTGTATCATACTGCTAGAGACAAAAAAACGTAATTATGATGGGTCACCTTGGGCAATTTTTAGTTTTTCTGTCATTGCATGGATTAGAATATTAATTGATTACTTAAACACATTTTGCAGCTCATCCCTGTACACTTTTACTTTTGGCTCAAACCATATCAGTATTCCCATACGCATACTAAACATTTGACAGACTATGCATCTAAAGCCCTTAAGGCACAATATGCAGCTGGGTAAATAGAACATTAAAAACATCTTATATACAATACAGACATTACAGTGAAGATGGTTTACTTTTGTTGAGACAGCCAGGTTCAGTGTGTTTATTTTTTTATAGTGGAAGTCTGTAGTGTTAGCATTTATTTTAACAGAGTTTTCCTGTCATCATTTTTCTGAAGTAGCCTAGATATTTTTTGGCATATGTTAAAATGTAATAAATAGCTGAGGGTGAAAATTAGAATTAACACAGATGAAGCTTGAATTAAAGAGTGGAGGTTGTGGTTGGATGGCACACAGCCCAGATCACTGGCCCACCCGTGCGACACAGTTTGCATAATCTTTTTTTTACTTTTCCCCACATCACATAACTTGATTTTGATGTGATTCACAATAACAAACGCAGCGACATAAGTGAATCATAGCTGAAGTTTAATAACACTACTAGAATGCGTCAGCTGACAAACAAGATTTGTATACCGTTTTCAGGGTAAGATAAGGCAACTTAAAGGGGTACCAATAAGCTACTGCCTGAATCACAGGAAGGAACAACAGTTGCAACATGGAAAAGGCTAGAAACAAATATTATCACAGAAAATATTTATTAAAGAGGAACAGTAATTAAAGTAGACTGATGTTAGACCAGTTTCGTCCTGAGAAAATAGGACCATTTTATTATGCGGCTCAACAGACAACATGCAGGTCAATTATCCTTTATTATAAGATAGTTTTGCTTATTCTGCCAATTGCTGGATCTTTTTATTGTTCCAAATACATTTGCCTACCAGACTTTACAGACCTGCAATAATACAGAAAATATGATGTTCTAGTTATAATATAACCCATCAGTCTAATTTAACAACAGTTTACGCAGGTTGAACATTTGTAAAGGACATTTTATTTAAAAACTGACTAATGCAGATAAGAGCTATGTGTTTTTTTTATTGAACTTGCCAGTGTATCTCAGAAACTGAATAGAAAAAACAAGTTGGTGTACATTGTTCTTATACTATAAAAGCAAAATGTTAACACATGCTCCGCCCAATCCAAATTCAGATAATTTGTTCCGCCATTTATATTGGGACGTTCCTGTCCACTCAGACACCTTAATATAACTAGCAGTGATGACAGTGTCCTGTCCGAGCTCCTTTGCCAGCCTGCAGTGATTACCTCCTAGCTATGTGTTTCCACACAGTTCAGTGAGTGCAACTGAGGGTCTTGTCATCCAAAACTTCATACACAGAGGAAACCTGTTAACACATGAATTGTAATTTCCTCTGTCACTCAGAATCATTAAAGAAAATTAGGGGTGATTGGGATTGTTACAAAGAAAGCTCTCCATGAGGCCTTCATGCCGTCATGTCAGCTTGACACTGCCGCAGCACTCACCCTCTTAGTTTTGCCACTTCTTTTGGAACTTATGCTTCCGTCATGTGAGACGACTGAGGTGTTTTATCTGCGTTAGCCCAGGCATAGTCACCATGGCAACTGGGTCTGAGCAGCAAGTTTCACCCGAGGAGAAAAAGTGCCGTAGTTCACTTTGATGGAAGAGTCTAATTTTTTTTGTCCACAGACTATCCAATATTATTTGTCTCCAGACAGCCTGTGACATCAATAAGGTCTGTCAGCAACTTTGTCTCCAACATTCGCTGTTAATCCAACTTTTGTACTTACAAATATTTCTACCATAATGGAATAGACATTATGTGTCATCTCATGCTTAAATATTTTATAGACAGTGAAATATTTCGTACGGTATTAAAGCTTGAGGTATGGCAGAACTATTATTAAATCATAACAAATTAAGCCATCCATATCCCTTGCTCCTTGTTAGGCAGCAGGCTATGCACTATTTTAGGATCTTATGATTTATGCCATTTTAATAAAATGGTGGCTAGTAAAACTGTAGAGCATATTGTGAATTGCACAACAACATGGTTACAAAATAATTGCCCCATGGCTATTTTATAAGCACGTTTTATGTGTTTATTAGACAATACAATTCAGAAGAGGATTAGTTTATGTCATCGGCCACGGGCCTAATTATGACAGCTGAATTTGTATTTGTTATTGCACTGAGTTGGGGACATTGTAATGATTACATTGTTTTGGGCAACACCGTGGTAGATGTTGGTGTACTCTGGTGCTCTCTGACTATTTGTGATGTGTTATCCTCTATAATCTCACTATAATCACTGATCAAAATGGGGGCCAAATTGTTCTTTTACTAATTTGGTCTTTACAGAATTAGCTGATGCATAAACTGTGTGCTTGTTGTTTTACATTAAGCCTGATTCTCATTAAAAAAATCTCCAGAACAGACAATATACTAGATATAATATTGTATCCTCTGTTTTAATTAGTTTATAGTTTACCCGATGTTCTCTGTGGTTGTATAGCTGTCTGGCCTGATAGTATTAATGGGATGTAGATAAATGTTGGCCAGTGGGTAACCAGGATGATGCTGGGAAAATTCCTAGGCCATTTGATATAAGAGCCACATAAACTTTGACAGTTAGCTGACGATGTTCGGTAAGACAGTCTTAAAAACTATTTATCTAACTTGAGCATCTTTCAGGCCAATTTTCTTTCCCAGGGAAACCTGCTGTTTATTTCTGCTCCTTTCATCTGACACATACAAACAGTTGTTTTTCATCTAACAGGTTATTTTCTCCCGTTTCCTCAGGTCTGACTTTGAAGTGTTCCACCCATTAAGGCATGAAATAAAGTCACTCATGTATGCTTCAGAGGGTCAGAGCAGTCTCACTTCAGCACGCTCCCATTAAGGACCCTCTGGCGGCCACACCGCCGATTCACAGGACATGTACGGCAGTGCCAGAGCTGTAGGCCATATAGAGAGCAGCCCCGCACGGTCCCCGCGCCTGCCAAGGTCCCCCAGACTGGGCCATCGGAGGGCCAACAGCGGGGGCGGGGGTGGTGCGGGGGGAAAGACGCTCTCCATGGAGAACATCCAGTCACTCAATGCTGCCTATGCTACTTCGGGGCCCATGTACCTGAGCGACCACGAGGGCTTGGGCTCCACTGCCACCTACCCGAAAGGCACTATGACTCTGGGACGCGCCACCAGCAGGGCCATGTACGGGGGCCGCGTCACAGCAATGGGCAGCAGTCCCAACATCGCCTCAGTGGGGCTGCCCCACGGCGACCTGCTGTCTTACAGTGACCTGGGCTCCCTCTCCATGCTGCAGCACCACCACCACCACCACCAGGGGATGCCCTCCGCACTGCTGAGGCAGGCGGTGCGGAGCAGTGGGGGGGAGCTGCTGGAGTTTCAGGTCCAGCTCAGGGATATGCAGAGAGAGAATGAGCTGCTGCGTCGGGAGCTTGACCTGAAAGACAGCAAACTTGGATCATCCACCAACAGCATCAAAAGCTTCTGGAGTCCTGAGCTGAAGAAGGAGCGGATAATGAGGAAAGAAGAGGCCGCTCGCACATCGATCCTGAAAGAGCAGATGAGAATCACTCATGAAGAGAACCAGGTAAAACCAAACCTCTCAGCCCTTGTAATCCATCCATTACTGCAGTCAATTTCTCTAGTCTGCTATTTCTCTATGGTCTTCTTTGATCTGTGTGTCTCTGCTTTCACCATCTTCCACAGACCCTCAGAGTTCAGAGCATTATTGCATTCAGTCATGTTTTTCAGTACTTGTGCAACCTTTCTGGAAAAAGTTCTTTGCGCACATAAATATGTAAAGGTCCCATGTCATGGCCATTTCTACTGATCATAATTCCATTGTTGAGGTCTACTAGAATAGATTTAAATTGTTCAATTTTCCAAACTCACATTGGTTTCTCATACAGCATCTCTGCATGTGTATTCACTCTCTGTCATACACGCCTTGTTGGAGCTCCTGCTCCCCCCCCCCCTCCCTATGAGCCCACTGTGCTCTGATGTGTGTTTATGTGTTACAATGGCGTTTGTTAGCAACCAGAAAATGACACCAGCAATGACAAACAGATGAGAATGCTGCTGGGTGCCGTGTTGGTGGGACGTTGCGGGGCTCGCTGCTGCGAGGAGCAGACAGTGTGAGCTGGATTACTGGTGTTGTTTCCTGGCTGCTGCGTGGGGTCTGCGAGACAGCGAGACACAGCGAAACCCAGCCCGAACACACACACACACACACACACACACAACACACACACACACACACACACACACACACACACACACACACACACACACACACACACACACACACACACACAGCAGCCTCCCGCAGCCTCCCCGCGTCCCGCCGTCTCAGGCTGAGAAATCTGCGGAGATGCAGCTGACAAAAGATTGAGTGTGTGTGACTAAATGTAGAAACTTATCAATATGCAGAAAAGTTATTTATCTTTCATCACCTAATTGCCCTAGGAATATTTTTTTTTAATTCAAGTCAAAAATAAGTTTTAACAAAAGAAAAAGTAGATATAAAGCCAAATAACCTACTGCACTTGCATTCAATATGAGAAGAAATGTTATCTGTTCAGAGGCCAGCTCTTGGTTTAATTTGAGATTTCAGCTACACAGAAAAGTGCACGACACACTGAGGTATTTGCTGTGCCTTGCTAGATTGAGTGTTTTTTTAAGCAGTTCTGTGAGATGATGCAGCTGATTGTACGAAGTCTCAAGCAACGTTAAGTCTGAAATTTGCCAGCTGGCTGTCTTGTCTGTGCCAGTCTGTCTGCGATTCTGTCTGTCTGGGGTTGAGTGATGCAAAACCCTGAGCAGCCAGCAGGCCACTCATCACTCAACACCATCACTCCACCCTTCAAGGTCACAGCAGGACACCATTAGTGTGACCCTTAAATGAGACCTGCCTGTCTTTGTGCAGGACATATCTGCATGCGATTGTGTGTCCTAACATCCCCTTTAAAAACGGATCAATTGTGGCGCACCTGATTTGACTGGAGGTTAAAGAGCTGCAGTCTGCCAGCCCTGAAGCAGTGTCACGCTGCTGAAGGGAAGGATGTGGAGCGCTCTGCCTCTCAGTTTTACCTGCTGGTGGTCCCTAGAGGGGAGCCAGAGGTACTTTGATCCTTTTATATCTTTATGATTCATGTAAATGTATGGGGACAGTGTTCGGGTGTAGAATGTGCCTGTTCAAGCTTAACCAGCTCTGCCACTGACAAGTCCAAGCCATTCATCATGCCACTTATTCCTTGTGTTCAGTGTGATTAAATACTCTGCGGGAATCCTTGTATATATTTTTAGCTTGGCTTCATACACTGTAGGAGCTGAATGTGTCCGACAGAAGAAAGCCGTATAGTGTTGGCTTTCATGTCTTTTGTACTCGATACAAAGCGAGAGCTCTTTTTATTGTATTTTATGCTCAGCCTTGTCCATCATTACATTACATTACATTACATTACATTACATTGCATTTAGCTGACGCTTTTATCCAAAGCGACTTACAATAAGTGCGTTCGACCAACAAAATACAAACTTGAAGAAAACAAAATTATATAAGTACATCAGGCTTCATAGAGCAAAAACATTTCAAGTGCTACTCAACTGGCTTTCAGTAAGCCAGTCCTTTATTAGTATATAAGTGCTTTGTTAATAGTTCTATTGCTCGAAGTGGAGTCGAAAGAGATGAGTTTTCAGTCTGCGCCGGAAGGTGTGTAAGCTATCTGCTGTCCTGATGTCAATGGGGAGCTCATTCCACCATTTTGGAGCCAGGATAGCAAACCATCACAGTTTGCTCTGACTCTGTCTGCATTGAATTATATTTATATTACTCCTAGCTGGGTTCATTAATGAAGTATTCCGGCTAATAAAAGGCAGATGTGCCTTGTTACTATAATTGGTATTTTTTCTATCTTGAATACTGGGCTGTGAGGCGTCCTTACGTAAGTGTATACTTATGGTGGGATGGTTTGAGAGGCTGATTGAGGAGCAAATTGCCTCATTAATAATCTAGTCATTTCAGGCCAATCATTACATCCATCTTCTAGCAGCCTTTACAATTGCATCAGGTGCCTTAGGCCTCGATTAGCTTGAGCAAATGCAGTGCATCATTTATTTTGTTAAAAAAATAAGATCTGGGGATATGTGCATCTTTTTACAACATCTTAGAGAAAAGAAAGCCGCTCAGGCATTAGTTTATCTTTCATCTGTTTCATTGGAGCACAAACTGAACTGTCAGTGAAATACCAACCGTAGCCTTCAGAGCTTTAATAACGACAGTCGATGGTCAAGACTGGAGGTAACTAGCCCAGGACGCATTTTGTATGTACTATGCTACTGGCTCAGGCAATACCGTTAATCTATTTGACTTGAATTCAGCAGAATGTTTTGTCATGCTGAAGCTGGACAAAATCTGCTGGAGGGAAGTCTGTGAGCTACATGTAGAGCGGACTGAGTCATGACCACTGCTGCTCAGCCACCCAGTCGGCCCTATTCAACACATACAGTAAGCCCCAAAATGGAGGCTGAGCTTCCTCTCATCACACTGCCTTTGCTATGCATGGATACTTGCCTCTAAGGCATGACATGTTTTTATTTTATCTTTACTCTGTACTGCCGAATGTTACATCTCACAGTGCTATAAAGGGGGAATATTTGTTCAGGAGGGGACTGTTGTGTCTCAGTAAAGTATAGGGTGTTGGGTCTCTTACACGTCCAATACATTCCTTCTGTAGTGTTAATGTGGACAGTGATGCTTGAATTCATGATCACAGCTTTCTCCCCTTTGTAGTCGTGCCAGCTGCTAATGTGTGGTGTTTAGTCATCACCACCCGTCTGTCTCTTGTGTGGGAGAGGTAAAGTCACATTTAGTCGTTGGCACACGTGATTCATATGAGGTGAAGCAGGTGTGCACCCCACACAGTATGTTGGCAAGGCAAGGCAAGGCAAGTTTATTTATATAGCACTTTTCAACACAGGGCAATTCAAAGTGCTTTACAAAAAATGAAAGACATTAAGAAAAAGGCATTTAAAATCAGTCATTAAAAAGAAAAGCTAATAAAAGAAACATTAAAAGAAAAAATACATGGATAAAAGTTTCAGTGCAGTTTAAGATATGAATAGTTCAATTAAACATTAAAAGAAAAAGTACATGGATAAAAGTTACAGTGGAGTCTAAGATATGAATAGTTCAATTAAAAGCAGCAACAAAAAGAAAAGTCTTCAGCCTGGATTTAAAAGTAGTCAGAGTTGCAGCGGACCTGCAGGTTTCTGGGAGTTTGTTCCAGATATTTGGAGCATAATAACTGAACGCTGCTTTACCATGTTTAGTTCTGACTCTGGGGACAGAAAGCTGACCAGTCCCTGAAGACCTGAGAGATCTGGATGGTTCATAATTTAGCAGGAGGTCAGAAATGTACATGTATTGTTGTATGTTGAGTTAAATCGAGAACCTTATGGTCATGCAATGGACAGTTTTGACTGCTTTGGCTATTTTGTCAATGAGTTCGAAAACCAAACATAGAAAATATATATTAATACGTCGTGTTTTTTTTTACAAAACTTTCTTTATTTGGATATGAAGATGTTCCTTAAATTCACCCAAAGAAGCATGCATTTGCATATTTAAAGGTACTGTTTCGGAAAACTTAAATTAATTTAAGAAATCAATAAAGGACGTTTTATGATGACATATGTTATTATTGTTTTTAAATAGTATTGTATTTAGATCTAGTTCAGATCTTTCAGGAGTCACATACACATGATGAGTAAAGGTCATGACATTGTGAGCTCAAGTTGACTCAGGGAGTATCATGTGAACATTTAAAAGAGCTCATCGGTTTTTCCAGTGGTAACCATCCCCCACGGTGAGCATATAAGATGGCTGCTGCTTAAGCCAGAGGAAATAAGGTAATGAAATAAGAAGTCTCAACTGTTGCAGCAGGAAAACATGTACAGTGTGAAAGAACACTCCCCATTAATTGTGAGGTTCCTTTGGGAGTTTTTTACATGTTTACTTAGTGTCTCATGCTGTACACATTATGATGCGCCCTGAGACACATGTGTGATATTGGGCTTTACAAAACAAATCTGATTGAATTTGATTGATTAAGATGGGAGTGGAGAATGAAGGAACAAAGCTAAAGGGATAGGATGTTTTACATTCTGCTTGTGTCTTGTTCTTCGGAAGAGCACGTCTTTAGATTAGACCAGTGCAGTGCTAACAGTGCAAAAATGTCCATCTTACACAAAAGCGAGAATGCAATAAAGATGTGTTCTTCTTTGAAAGGAGGCCAGGTGATTCATGAAAAGAGAATTAGACAAGATGGTGAATCCACAGTTTTTACAGGCTGCTGTGGCTCAGGAGGTAGTCCACTCATGGTTATGAACTTATCCAGGGTTGGCAGTTTGATTCCTGTCATCTCATGCCCACATGTCAGCTTGTCAAATCTAGTTTTTGAAAATAATTTTGAATGACATTTTTTTTATACTACTACTACTATAATACTTGTGCTATTTGAAAGGCGTTCATTTGTTGACATTGCTGTTGAAGAGTCAGCCATTTCATCTATCTGAATAGTTTATTTA